TACTCTGTCTTCATATATTTGAAAATACAGTCCTTCCAAAAACCTCCAAATTATAATTATAATGTTAAATAAAATGTTACAACACTAAATGCAGCAAAAGCAACTAAATACTAATAAAAACATTAAAAGCTACAATAATAACAGAATAAAGGGCACATTAAGCACACTGGCATGTTATTTTGAATTGACACTTTAAAGCTCAGAAAAAGCTGTTAACAGTTAAAAATATGCATGGAATGCTGTTCCAACACACCCAAAGCAACCATCTGGGTTGGAAAACTAGTACTGGGAGAGAGGAAAGCAAGAAAAATGGAAACTATAATAGCATACTAATAGAAAGATAAAATGGCGATTACTTAGGACTGACAAAAATATAAGAATTTTAATGGAAACTCTTTTTTTGATGTATTAAAGTGCACAAAAATATTTAAAACAGTTTCTGAAATTAGATTTTGGCTATGGCATATGAAGTGAACACAGCTAAGAAGCACAAATGCCTTTTTTTCCGATTGCTGTATCTATTTCTAATCCTTTGGCAACTAGCTATCCAAAATTCATTATCACATATATAAAACAGAAATACTAACATTATTTTAGTTCTCACATATGTATGATTCTTATGACTCCACCTCTCATTTAATTGCACTCTGATTCTCAAGGCAAGCAGAACAGAGATTTTTTTTTTCTAAGCTTCGAGAAATGTAACTCAATCCTCACCAATATACAAATACCATATTGGGCACTAGTGTTGATGAATGGATTCCAAATTCAAGAAGACATGCATTGAAAAGAAGGGATAATTAAAAAAAAAAGCAGTATCAGCAGTAGTATGATCAGAAATAAATTATTTCTACACTCCAATGTCCTTTCTGCAAACCAACCAAACCATAGGCAGCAGAGAAGTGTGTAGGTACAGCAGATCTAAAAAGGCAAACACATGATACCACATCAGCATCATCTTTCAACCTTTAGATTTGTTAAGTGAGAAACTGTAATGGTTCTTCTCTGCAGGTGGCTTATCTATGCGTTTTGATCAGTGGGTTGTATAAACGTTTTATGATATTTTCATGGTGAATCCAATAAAATTGGGTTACAATACATCTTGCATATGGTTGTCTCACATGCAGGTGCAGAATTTTACAACCTGCTGATGAAATGCTCCCTCGGTGGTGAAAGAATCAAGTCTCCATTGGGCATGTGTCTCCTGCTGCACTGGGTACCCACGGCACACCTCTGGGCCACCACTGCATCGGTACGCTTTGGTACTTACATACCCCATGGCCCGTCTCACTCACGCGGCTGCTCCGCTCAGCAGATACCAGCTGTATCTCTCTGGGAAAGTACAAAGAGCTCACCCCATTTTCCATTCTGCCGCATGCATGTCTACTGTAGCAACCTAGAGAACTGCAGAAGATTTCTGCCATTGTTCAAGTCCAATATATATAAAACAGTTCAAGAGCTTTTTATCGGGTCACAACTCCAATATGGTATTACAGGTTCTATTAGCCAAGTCTCACTCAACCTTTCAAAAGACCAATTTAACACCCCCAAAAAGATCAGTATTTAAATTTGAGATTAACTCAGATGTTTTTAAAATAGAAGCCTCTTAAAACTTTTTAAATACCCGTAACAATGGGGTCTACACATAGAAGGGGCTCATATACAAAAACAATTAAAAAGTGATGTTTCGTGTGTTTGAAAGTCTGGATTAAAACCTATTTTACTCAGTATCATGGAGAGCTTCCTGTCTTCAGTGCAGTTGTGATTTCAAGCCTCATGTATCCTCAGTAAGTGCTCTTCTAATTCTTAAAGCTCAAAGGAAATCTTTCACTCAAGGAAGAATGACAGATTTATCAAAAGGAACGTGACAATAAAACTGCTGAAGCAATACAGGTACATTTCAATTCACACAATAGGTTCGTATTTCTCAATGATACTGGAAAATGTTGCTGTTTTTTTAAAAAAAAAATATTAGCACTAAAATCGGTAGTCATATTCACTATTAGTATAACTGTAACATTTAGCAAACCTGTTTCAAGGGCACCATCACAGCTGATGCTGTGCAAACTTATGTAAGATCAGCAACAATAATGTAAAATATAGCCTGAAGTGCAAAAAGCACATCATTAGTCAATAATTTAATTTCTAGAAACACCAATTACTTAATTAACAAAAATACTCAAATAATATCACTCACTTGCTATAAAATGAACATTTTCACTAGCACCTTAAAAAAAAAAATTCGAACATTACAAGTTAGGAAATATACCACTGGACACATGCAAAGTTTAAAAACTGTTCCATTTTCACTCAGAAATGATCTGAGTGATTTATTATAAAATTATCCTAAACACTTGTCCTTACATATGATGTTTATCAGGGGAATTTTGAAAATACAGGTATTTTCTTAAATTCACTTTGAGAAGAGTGCAGAGCAGGACACTTCTTTACTCATTTAATTTCTGAGTAAATAAAAGCTAAAAGCAAAGACAAGATGAATTTGGTTCCAGTTTCATTGTTTGCCTATAATCTTAATATATTAACAACTTAGGAAATTTAATTTATTTTAATGATAGGTGTAATAAGCTGAAACTTGCTAAGGACAAGCTACTGAACCGAAACCATGATAGCCAGGTAGTTTAAGTGCAAGTCTGAGCATGGAAAGTCCTGAGGTTTTCTTCATTTTATTAAAAAGGCACGTAAGTAACATTTTCTAACACTTTTGACACAAGACATATAGACACGTATATGTATGATTCCTAGGTTTCCCGTTTTTTTTTTTTTTTTAAAGTAGTAATAAAATCACACGATCTTAGACTGAGATTGGACATCAGGAGTTTGTTATGACTGGCAGATGCTCCCAGGCTAAACCACTGAAAGTCTTTCTTGAATAGGCTTAAAGGAAAAAATTGTGCTTTTCTTTCTGCTGACAACTTAGCACTATGACTGAAAGCAATGCTTCAGCTGTTCAGTTACCTTTTGTTATGCAATGCTTTTTTAGCTCAATACTCTTTAAATATAGATGTATATTCATTGAAAGAGTAAAACACTAATCCTAAACCAAAATCCTGACAGAAAATAGCTGCAGTTGATGGGGTCTAGCCAAACTAATATCTATATAAGCTCATTATAAAATCAACTGTGTGTCATTTCACTGCAGATTGCTTAAAACTCAAACTTATACTGTACATACTTGACCATATAGGCTTTTTCAATTGTTCTTTTAAATGAGAATATCTGGCATAGCATGTCACCTAGAAAGACAGCTATTTAAAAGACATTTCTGCTTATTATCATTGCCTTTTCAAATGACAGATCCACCAGTCAAGCAATAGACAGAAACAGAAAATATCAGTCTAAAACTTATGGCAACTCTACAAATGAAGCATTTTATATGTGTCTTTGTAAGAATGATCAATGGGTAAATTTTGACAACACATGTAATTTTCATTAAAAAAAAAAACCTCAATAGACTAATTTATCAGAGTAATACTAACATCTTTTTTTTTTTCTTTTTTTTCCTTTCAGATCAAGCCACAGAAGTAGGGGGCACAATGTACCTACTAGGAATGCTCCTTGTTTATTAGTATCCCTGCCTACATATGGCAATACTAACAGCTCTTGAAATAGGACTGAAGAAGCAGATAATTAACATAATAAAGACAAAAAAGAAAGAAGAAAAATAATGATACATGTACACACAGATGACTATAACACACAGAGGAGCTCAGTTCAGTTTGGTCATCTGTTTCCTGTTATAAACTCATTTTTCCCAGCATTACTGGCTACAAGGGTAACAGAAAAGAAGACTGGCAAGACAACAGAAAATTATGACCATGTTAGGACAACATTTTGTTTACCTTATAGCTGCTCCCAGTGGGGGCAGACACATAAGAAACACAAATAGTATTTAGGTCTGCATCTTGGACATCAAACTAGCTCCTTGCATAACAAGCTGCTAGAACAACAGTTGTTCACTTACCGGGACCACAATGTCCAGTCACCTTGTTTAGGGCATTCTAGGCCCTATTAATTCCACACCATTTATGCATATGGAAGCACATAACAAATTAACATACCTAAAAATTAATATAATTGAGCTCACATTTCTAGAGGGAAGTATACGGCACAGAGTGGCAATTTAATCTGTGGTGAATAGCTATTATCAGCTGCTGAAAATATCTTCTACTTTTTATGCTTTTTTTTCATCTGCTTCTCTTCAGTTTTCAATAAACAAAATAACAGTTCACCTCAAGTATGGTTCTGATTTTACTATCCATCCTTAAACATGAGGAAGATCCTGTTCTAAGGAGAAACCAAAGCCCACTGATGCCAATAGTGACAAGGTCACAAAACAGTATTGCAAATGGCATGCAGTCTCACTACCATGAAAGCCATCAAGATGACAGATACTATGATACCATCAAAATATCCTTGATCTCTCAGAAAAAAAAAAAAAATCTGTCACAAACTCACCTTCTATAGTTTGGCTTGTCCAAGAAAAATGGGATGTCATGATGCACATAAACACAACATTAGTTTTGCAGGTATTCTGCCTTGCTTCTATAAACTTTTTCTTCCTATGAAGCCTAGTTCTATGTGGGGCAGCAGATATAAAATGATTTACTTAGGTCACAAATAAGGACACCTGTGGGAAACCGCATCATTAACATGAAAACAGATTCTTTAAAAAATGAAAAAAAAAAACACAAATGAAACAGAGATCGGTATTCAGAGTCTTGTGTGACTTTAGCTATCTGTCTTGACTGTGCCAAGTACCCAACAACCTCTTGGACATTTGTCCAAATAAGGCTCCTTCTCCACCTGTGTTTCCAAGAAATACTGGTTTTGCCTGCTAAAAAAATCCATTTTTTTATCTTTTATTCAGTGGTACACATGCTCCCTGTAGCATATTCCAAATGTATTCCTTCCCCTTTTATAGTAGGCCCAAAAACTAATACAGACTATTGAGACAGATATCGTAGAAATTTTGAAGCATGTAACAGCACAGTTTTTTGCTTTACTGAAAGCTATTATTGTGTAATATCAGACCATGCCAAATATTCAACATTATCATAATTAAAACACTCATACTGGTATCCATTGCCTGGAGCAGAGCATCGTGAAAATCCTTACTGTAAACAGCATCAAAGCTTTCATCAAGTGTCTCACCTTGGTAAGTCCTTCTTCCAGCAAAAAAAGGTAATGAAGAGACATTTTCACACTCCATATGTAGTATCTGGAGTTCTAAATAAAGTAATTTATCATGAATAATGTTCAGATTTGACGTACTGCTATCTTAAAAACTTTCTCTTTGGACAAGTATGAGAGAAAATCCTGGAGGCAATTGGCATTGCCACATACCTTTGCTATGTGTTCTTCCAAATTCCAGTTGCTCCTGTAACTATAAAAAGCTGGAGAAAAAGTACTCCATCATTATTGACTGAAGAACTCAAACTAAAAGGTATTAATTCATACCTATCTTCTTACCTTTGTGCTTCCAAAAAAATGTCCAGCGTCCTTCAGTCTTCACGTTAAAAACCTCCAAGCATTTAGATTTTTTAGAGATACAAGTTTCACGAAGAATAAAACATTCCAGGATCCTTTTTTTCCTTCAATACCTATTGTTTGTAATTCTGTTTGCCTCATGCACTGAAGGTACGTTCACACTGACCAAACTTCAGACATATTTAAACCATGGCAGAATTTATAAACATAATAAACCCATAAACATGCAGTAAAAGTCTCATTAGGAGCTATTTTCCATTGTGCTAGTGTCAACAGATGATTTTAAATTAGGGTAGAAAACTACCTACTAATCAAAGCACAGAAGAACATTTATTTTCATTTTACAGTAACATGAGTGTGGTTGATCTTTTCAAATTGTTCCACAACCCCAACTTTCTTCAAATTTCAAACTGAATGCAAAATCAGTGAAGATGATGTGTACAGACACATGAACTGTCCTTAAAAATTTCTTCTGACTGCAACTTTCTTAAGAATGGGAAGCAATACACTTCAATGAGCAGAAGTGGCAGTGAAGTGTCTACTCACTGACATCATCTCTAGCTCGCTCTATCTGGTCAATGGATAATTAGGGGTTTGCTTTCTTTAACTAAACACACTTTCAGATGTCTGGTTACAGAATACTTGTGTAATAAAGATAATTTTAAAGTCTTTTTAAAAATATTAGTAAGTTAGAATACATTTTTGATAAGCAGAATAATGCCCAAAGTATTCTGATGAACTTTTACTAAAAATAATCTTTCTACTGTAGCATGGAATTCTTCAGCAAAGTCAAGACACCACCCATTTCACAACCTTCTTCACTAACACCATGAACCTGATCTTTTCTGTTCCTCTAGTGATCTGCATTATTGGCTGATAACTGCTCTGCTTATGAACACAAATGCAGTTTTGAACATGAATGCAATTTTGAAGCAGCGAAGGCAGCTTTACGTGAAAGGAAATCACCTTCCCTTCAATGAGACCAACTTTTTTCTAAACCTTTACAGATGGATATGATTCCATGCACAGTCATTAGATCCAGAAACTTTTCAGTAAGAGAACCCAAAGTTGCTTAATGACACAAGTACAATTTGTGATATTCCGCATGCAGTTCACTTTCTAAGACTTTCTGCGCTGCTTCCTTCCCAAACACAATGGGTTCAAGATGCACGATGTCTGGTTCCCAGCTATGCTTGCATCTGATGGATATTATTATGCACTGAAGATTTATGTTCAGCTTCAAATCAACTGCAAGTTTCACACTCTAAGTAGGGATGCCCACAAACATATTGTTCTTTGGAGAACAACTCTCTGGCTCCATAGATATAACTTGGACAGAGTAGTTACGTTCTTCTGCAGCCCATGCTCGATCCAGATCCACAAGTCCCATACACTGCTTTCCTAAAACGAGAGCAAAGGAGAGCATGGAAACTCTAAAAATGTAGAAACATAACCAGAAACGTGCACTTCAATAATCAATGTTAGGAAAACACATCAGTAAGTCATCTAAAAAATAAGTTCCAAATCTACTTGAAAAACTATCTTAATCTGTTTTACTTCAAACAGACAGTCATTAATAGTTCTGAATCACAACTGTGACTTGTAACCCTCATTGAGCAAAGATCTTGAGAAAGATTGTTAACTCTTTATATATGGAGTAACTTAACAGGTACAACTCTCTAAATATTCTTGAAACTTACATTAAAATCAGTGCATTAATGTAAAAGCTACAGGAAGGGAAAAAATGTCTAGTTTACACCTTAGCTCTCTGAATTGCCAAACTTTTATTCCCTTTATAACCATAACTGTTTTCCTCCTGTACTTTCATCTAAAATCTGAAAATTTCTGGCTACTGAATATCAATGAAAGACTAAAATGCCAAACAGTGACCTAATGTAATTGATTTTACACATGTGAATGTCACTGTTTATGAAAAAAACACTAAATTACTAATGAAAAGCGATCTTGTCTCAGATTTACCTGCGGAAAAAATGGGAAGGATAAGTTCAAGGGTTTTTTCTGCTTAGAAGTATGTATTATGATACAGCCACACCAAGATGACGGGGCCACTGCTTTTACATATTTACTCATTATAACTGATGACGTTCTGAAATACCAAATTGATTTGTCAGATCATATTTTCAGCAGTTTGAAACTCCCTTGCAAGAAAGAGTTAGCACTTTCCTGAAACGTTTTATACCACTAACAGTCATATAGTCTCAAGTCACAAACAAGGCACAGTCCTGCTTTAGTCTCAAAGCCAATGACCCTACCTCTTTTCTGGTTCCTGACAGAATTGTACAGTTAAATATATTTGGGGTCCAAGATGAAGGGAAGAGACAGGAGCGCTCATTCTCTTTACCATTGGGATATAAGTCTGGCATTCCAAACTATCCTCTGGAACTGCCTACCTCTCTCCCCCGAATACATACAGAGCTTGAGTGCCTGTTGTATTACAAGTCCTGGTACACATCTGTTAGGTGCATGTAGAAGATCTGGATAGGTGGCACAAATGTGCCCCTCAGTAGCCTTGAATTTCAGAACAGCTGGTGCACATCACACTTTGGTACAGTAGTCAGTCCAAGCTATTCTGACTTTCCACAGAAATGGAAAAAAGTATTCTCTCCTTAACTGAATTCATCGCAAAAGAAATTCAGTACTGTGACTTCACCAACATTATGATATTTGAACTCTCTTCTATTGGTGGCTTGAAATTTGAGAGGGGTAGTAATTGGGTAGGAGACAATTTAGAGGTACCATAATAAGCACAGGCCTGAAAAAAGTTTCCAGATCAGTCCTGTATGGGATATATACGTTGCAGAGAGAAATTACCAATTCATATAACCAACCAGGATAGACCACTTCTTGTGGTGCTATTCTCCTACATATGTGGTTTCATAGAAAATCACCTTCTGCGGTTGGTTGAACAAAATGGCATGTACAAGCTCCTGCCACTGACAGCAATATCATTATTATTCCAAGTGTGCACACTAAGGGGCAGGTGGGATTGCCACAATTGGGCCCTGGTTCCCCAGGTGCTCTCAGTAAGACTGCGTGAAATACATGGAGCAGTTCTGTGATCAGACGGAATAAATCAAGCGGGCTGTAGCGATGTTCACAAAACCATTCAGTACGTTTGCACTCAGGTCCCACTGTTGCATACAGTGGATAAAACACACATGTCCAGTGAAAATGGGAAACATAACTTTGTTCACTGAAGAGGGAACTGCTGTGTGTAGCAGAACTGTGTTTAACTGTGGATTTTTACTTTCATAGATACTACAGAAATTGGTGATAACTCCTTTAACAAATGTGTTGTTTTAGCCATGACAGTTACAGACAGAATGCTGTATTTCAGTGCTTTAGTGACTTACAGGTAATGAAAATAAATTATATGTCACTTCACTGAAGCTGCATAAATTCAGTGGTAATTGCTAAAATAGAGTTTACAGTACAATCAAAAATATTCAAAAAGTAGCAGAGCAAGTCACTTTGCCACCATTTACAACAGAAGAGAGATAGTCTCCAGCTGTTCAGGAATATTTTAATTGAATGAAATCTACAGTTTTCTCAATACCTGATCGTGAATTGCACAAAATTAAATAATAAAAAAAAATCTTACCATGGCTATAACACTCCTATGATTCATTCTTCAAATATTTGCAAGCAAAACTTAAAAGTACCCCAACAAGACTGCCATAAAACCAGTTTCAAAGCCAGTTTCAGAACACTGAAATGGGAATGATCTTCACTGAAACAGATTAATATTACATGGAACTTAAAGAAAAAACCAATATTCTTTAAAACAGAAAAAGCTATGATGTAGGAGAAGGGAAAGGAATAAGATTTATGTTTGGATTTTTATCAGGGCAAAGCACATAAAAGTTAAATTTGTAGAGGAAAAAAAAAAAAAAAGCAGTTTCAGAGACAGAGAACAGGAGAACAGATAAAAGTTACAATCTTTCAAAATAGTTTTTTGAGTCCCTTTCCAATTTCCAATCCACCTGGCAAGCAGCAGGAGACAATGTGGGGTGCTACACTGGTAACTGAACACTGCCTTTTTTAAACATTTTTGTCAAACACTGTGATGGTAGCAAAAGGGCCAACAAATTTACTATAAAATAGTTCTCAGAACCTGCATTATTTTCTTTATGTGCAGTGAGTATAGGAAATACTTTGAATTCTTCAGATTAAGCTTTTTAAAAACATTATGATTATTTGCTACTACTACTTTAATAAACTTTCTAAGTGTTTCTTTCAAGCCAAGAATGTACAGTCATATCCTGAGAGTTCCCAGCCCCTTCTGTCTTTTCTGACCTGGAAGCTAGTTTATAGCTTCCATCAGAACATTAATACCAGACAGTAGCATATTATACCCTTTTGTAAGTCTAAGACTACTAGAATATGGCACATAATGAAGAAATGGCTTTGCTTATTCCAAATGTTTGAAACGTCATGTATTTTGCTGTCCTTCTGAGTAATGAAATTCCCACTATCTTAATGACAGCTCCTTGCATTTCTTTTCCTCAGAAATTATTGACACCTGACCAAGAAACTAAAATCTCAGGGATCAACTTACTTCGGCTGTTAATTGCATGGAAATGACCCAGCAGAAGGCAGCTGCTCTTCTTCAGAATGGCAATAAAGTACAAATGAGAAACAGAACTGATTACCAAAAGGTAAAAATTGAGTCCTGCACTGCTGTAGGTACAAGTTCCCCCACAACAGGAAGGCTGGTACCCCAGGTAAGAAGTAAGCCAAACTGTGTTCTTGGAAAAGTCTTCAGATTATAAATATTATTCACTATTAAAAAAAAAAAAAAAAAATCCCAGAAAACCTTCTGTTTTTTGTTTTTTGTTTGTTTTTTTTTGTTTGTTTGTTTGTTTTGTTTTTTTTTCTGAAATTATTATGATGGTTGTAATAATGAGGTGGGCTAAATAGGTTTGTATGCTCTTAAGCTTGCCTGTACCAAAGCTAGCCCAACCTCTGCAATTTAGCTTTAGTGTTTCCAGCTGGCATTAGATGTATGTCCTCCTAAGAGTTATCACCAGCAATTACAAGCAGGACAAAGAGTGCATGCTGAAAATCACCACTGCAAGTAGACTGTGCTTTTAATGCAAGATAAGATGGCAATAGCAGGACTCTAGTGAACTTTAAAAAGACCTAATTCTTTTCAGAGAATGGTAGAAGGAAAAGAAAAAAGGTGAAGCAACAAAAATCAGTAAAATGCAAACCCGCTATCTCATATGGAAAATACTGAAAGGGTTTCTATACCATAGTTTGGAACAGCAAGAGCAGAAATGCGAAGAAACTCAAATTTTTCAAATATTATGTGAAGACAGCAACTTAATGCCTTGTTCATAAATGTACTACTACTACCTTCATGTCAAAATAAATTCATTACTGAGATGGTTTACACAATAGCTGCAGAAATTCATACCGATTAGCCTGCGTTCAGATGGAAGCTGAATAGCTGTCTGATCTGCAAATCTGCAAAGGATCATGTGCTCCTAGGAAAAAAAAAAAAAAAAAAAAGAAAGAAATTTGGTCCAGTAGCATTGCTCTCTTCCAAATAGAGAAATGAAAAAATCTAAGTAAATGTTTAAAAGTATCAAAACCACTATAATGTCAAAGACTATATTTCTAGAAAAATTATCTGTGTGCAAATCCTAATTTTGATACTGCTTTGGCTTGTAAATATGCATGTAAATCAAGTGTTTGTAACCATGACTTCATTTCTACTCGTGAGTATATGTTTCTTGCTAAATTTTCTCTAATTCTCTGCAGCAGTTGAATTGGATGCAATGTATACAAGACAGCATTTTTCAAAGACATACTGCAGATTAATTTTGCCTTCAATTACTGATGAGTAACACAGCCTTCTTTTAGCACAGTCATCGTGGGGTAGCATCTCTGCATCCATAACCAGCCAAGACAAACTTCTTAAATAGGTGATCTGAACTACTGCACAGTTCTCCCAGGCAGTGATTTTGAATCCCAAAAGAATCCCTTTGTGGGTCAAACATTCTCTGCTCTGCCAAAACCATTCAGGACCAACCCAAAAGATCCCAAAGGCAAACAATACCTGGCTGTGAATAGGGGAGTTTCCTACACCAAAATAAGCACAGTTCACTTTTCAAACTATCCCTGTTCCACTTAAAGTTTCTGCAGAGGCTTCTACAACAGCTGCTGTTGATTTTTTCCTGTCTTGTCACCCAGGGGTACGGTGAGGTGGAGGGTTAGCCCCAACACCTTATTCCCTGCTTAGATCGCTACACAAGCAGGCAGAACCCCCTCCTCACTCATCTTCAGAAAACACCACCTATGCTAGCATAATGGTTTCTCAAATAACAGCCAAGCCAAGGAGCTCAAGTTAGCCAAATGGTGAGAGAAAAAGCCTTGAAGGTGTAGCAATGAAATTAATGTTCTGATGACAGCTGTGCTCTTTGGGACAGCTGCAATATGAAGTACAGAACAGAGTAAATCAGAACCATTTTAGAACTGTACAACATGCCAAAGTCTCCTATAATGTCACGGGTCTGAAAAAAGGACGTGTCTTGCATCAAACGAGAAACTTTTTTTTTTCTTGCCCAATATAAAACAATGATTTTTAAAGGCTTAGTTCCTGTAACAGATGGAGTAAACAACTTCACCTAAGGATACTTCAGCTTCCTTCAGTAACCTGAAGTAGAGGATACTTACACCATCTTTTTATTAGGGGGACAGAAACATCCAAAAGGCTTCATTTCACAAGAACCCTGAATGAAATCCCATCTTCATATTAAATCAAGATGGTAATTTCCTCCGCACTACACTCCATCCAATTAATAAATTTAATAGACACCTGACCACAAAAACATTTGCCCACATATTATAAAATAAAATGTTATCACTACTTGATACTCAAATATCACTCATTTAAATAAATTTACAATATCTTGAGGAGGGAATATTTGTTCCCTGGTATAGCTGACTCATATGAAGGTTTTCAGCTCACAGCTCCATAAGAAATATGCAAGCAAAATGAGAACATGTTATAACATGTTTGAAACATGTTACACCCAGTCAGTTCAGTTCAAATATGGTTATTTTTGTAGCACAAGAGAGTTAAAAACATTAAACCCAATGTGACTACTGGAGAATGAAGGAAAAGGCGCAGGCAATGTGGCTGCTGTTAGGAGAGAAGAAGCAGTGATAGGCAGCCTGGGGAGAAAAAGAGATTCAGAAAACAGGGAGAAGATCCACGTTAGTACAGAACCCCTCAGCAGGCTTCAGGCCCCCAACACAACCCAGCTCCTTGCAACACCAGGTTCTCAGCTCATCCGACTAGACCAGAGCTAAGGTAAGCCTCGCCACTGGACCTGAAAATCTGGACGGACCCTAATGCCTTAGCTTCCTACAGAGATGATCCAAAAAGTTAAACTAGAGCCTAAGTTATAACTGTATCTTTTCTCCATGACACAGTCATTAATTATCACATTCCCTGCTGGCAGAAATAAGAAGAAAAACATTTCTAAAATAATGAAGATAATTATAAACTGCCCAAACTTTGTGTGTGCATAAGCAGTTAACTTGCTTACCAGAACACCCACGCCTTCAATTCCTATTAATTTCTCAAAGCTGTATGTGCAAAGTTATTCAGTTTTACTTTCCAATTCTCCTATAGGGAGTCTGTCTTGACAAACTGAGTCTCAAAATGTATCATAGAAATCTACAGCTATCATAACCTTATTCTTTGCAGTTATAAACTAATGAATTACAACATAATGTTCTCATCAAAAAAGTTTTGGAACTGCCAAACTTCTGGATGTCTTTTTAGATCTCACTAAAATGAAAGATAAGAGAAATGAATTTAAAATGGGAACTGGAAGGGGGTGACTGACAACGTCTGGCTAACACATGGCAGTTTTGGCTACTAGCCAATAACCTGTAACAATTTATTAATATGAAATATAAAAATGCATTTAGCTGGATGGATAACAAAAGTTATTTATAACTAGGATTATTTGAGGCACCAACCAGTCCAGTTTGTATAGACTCTTACATTATTAAGAGCAGCAATATTTTTTAGCACTGTCCTTGGCCCCTGTGCCCTTCTGCAACACAAATAATAAAATGCTGGAACTTCTATAGTGTTAACAGACCCTGTGATTTAAACCTCCATAGATTAACAGATTAAGAAAAAAATTCACTGAGTTTTAATGAGATTATACACACTATCCTAATCTAGGCATCCTTGTCTTTGTAATTGTCACCATCTCCCTCTGTACTGTCAACAGGTCTACTTTTAATAATACGTTGGTAAATAAACTTTTTCTGAACTGAAACCCAAGTTCTTCATGATTATCTGTTAGAAACTTATAAAAGTATTGAAAAGAATGTTAATCAAGGGAAGAAATAATGGCAGGTCTAAATCCACTGCACCGCTTTTATCATTTCAGTTTATGGACATTTATTTCCATGTAAATTAGCAGAGTGTACATAAACCAGACTGTCATGAAGATAAGATTAGCGTGTTACCAGATAATTGAACTTCCCTATATAAATAAGATGGCTGGAAATTTTCTGATTTTTTTAAATGCCCTCTTACTTGAGGATTAAAAAGGATAATGTCCGTTTTCCTGCTACATATAGCATCTTTGCTATACTCACTGTTCCAAAAAACATTTGAATATTAGAAATACTGCCTCTCTCATACTTCTGTTACAAAGGATTATTCTGCATCTCCAAAATACATTTCTGTATTGTAAACACCAAGACCCTTGTCTAGGGCTGGACTTGTAAACTTAGTCAAGTTTCTATATAGCCTTGCTTCTCTGAAATGGAATCCTTTTCTTTCCATGCCACATTAAGTGCATCTAACCTTCAAATTTCTGGTTGCTCATCACCAGCTAGTTCAAATGCACTAGACAAAGCTTAACAGATCAGTACCAGCTGTCTGCTGTCCACCTCTCTGCTGCTGTCCTTTACCACTCCCCCGTCATCTGTTATCTCCGTTCTGGCAGATCTGCATGCCTCATTGATTCTTTCTCCCACTTTTCTCTCCAACTATCTCCACACAGACCCTGGCTCCCCAAGGTCAAAACACATTTGAATATTTTTGAAATAATTTTGAATAACATTTTAAAAATAATATTGTATAAAATTCTTGCTGATGAGTATAAGCACTTCCTACTCACTGTCCAATCTTTCAGACATAAATTAGACTGAGAAATCTAATGTTCTATCGGAAACTAATATCTATAAAAGCAATAATTTTACCTGAAAAATGACCAGACATTTCCAGTGTATAAAGAGCTGTATTTAAGACCTAAATAAATTGGTAATCTGTAATTGTTAATCCATGCATGTTGAAGTATCTTACAAATGGTTCACTTACACTTTATGACAAAAAAAGTTACCTTGTGGAGTAACTATTTAATTTTATTGAAGAAAAAACTGCCTTAAAAAACTGGAAGTTGGAGAGAAAGAACTGCAGGAAACTGCACATAACCCTCTCCCCCTGGGCCCCTGAATTCTTTTACATACCTTGTAGGACAAAATTTCTTTGAACTGATGACTGAAAAAAAAGATAGACCAATTCAATTAACATCTAAAAAAGCAGAAGTGGAAAATAGAAACAATCATTACACACTTGAATACATTTTAAACAAAATAACAGTATCTGTATCCTACAGAAAGGCATTAAAATAAACCAGAAACCATTACAGTTCCAGTTCACTAGAAAAGGAAAAGTGTATTTGGTGTTGTCTTTTTTTTTTTCCCCTTGTATTATTCATGAAAATTCTCTCTTGAACTCAATATAAATGCTCTCAGATTTACTGGTGTTTCCACATTGTCACATATACACTTTATATTACATGTGCACAACCTCTAGACATGTATATTTTGTTTGTATCACAAAATTAAGGTGCCTCTACAATGGAATTGAATATAGAACACAGGCAATATGGAGATATGGGTAGGCTATCATGTTTTATAATCATATCAAATAAGGCAAAAAGAAAAAGCAAACTCTAAAATGTAGCTTGAGCTATCAGCTGATAATTTTCTACATAGGCTTACAATGTTAGATTCAGAAGTTTAGCAAACACTAAACCCGTAATTTACACTTTTGCAGCACCTATAGCAACAAAGTTTTCTAAAATAGTGAGCGTTTCCAGTCTTCATGATCTAAAAATGTAACTGGTCGAAAATTAAACAGTATACAGTCAATTTTTAAAACATGTCAACAGAGAATAGCTATATACCTGCTAACTTTAGAAGGCTTAAAATTTTGTCGCTTCTTCCTTAAGAATACTTACTGGGTGTACTGTGTCACAAGACAAAACAAAGATGGAAGAATCAAATTGTCTACGAAAACGCTGTTAAATGCAAAGTTTATCAAAGTGACAAATTCTAAATATTTACTCTCCATGCACTTCTGTGGCAGCCTACTTCGATATTATAGAAAAATATGAAAAATATTTTACATGGATGCCTAAGATTTTTTTAGATTTGTTGATTCCTTTTAAGACAGCATGTTTCAGTTTCTTATTTTAGCAAATATATACCTAAGACAATGTTGTAACTCCTAGTAGAATTAAAACTGATTAATCTCGGACATCCAAAATGCAAAGCTCAGCTTTATGATAAAAAAAAAACGCAAATAACCCAATCCACAGCCCTCTTCCCTCCATCTAGTTCTGCCTCAGAAAGCTGTCAGCCTCTTCTCTTCTGCCACGTTACACTTACTTTTTACTTTTCATGTATATCAAAGGCATTAAAATTCTTAAGCCTAAAATATGAGTATCTCCAACATGGCAGATTTGAAGAAGACAAAATATCTACAGTCCACTGAAAAAGTATTAAAAATATGAACTGAAATACAAGAGAGCTTGTCTACTTGGGAATAAATCAGAAGAGTTTCACAAGCAGAAAACTGTGGTATAAAGCAGACCCACTTCTTTAAGCTGATTGCTTACATCTTTCTCCAATGTTAAAATGTCAATTCCCTTTCCTACAGTAATTTTCATGAGTTTTCTATTAACTTTGTGATTTCAAGGTAAAAGGTCTGCATATTACACAGATTCTCACACACTGTTTCTACTATGATGATGGTATAAAGTCTTCTGAACTATGAGCAAATAAATCCAGAAAAAAATAACACAGGAATTACCAGTCTGTCTCCCTTTCAGCATAGGTTTGCAAAGAGAAACAGGAGAAAACAGTTGCATTATAAATGAACCAATGTAGCCTAGACACTTACAATGATCTTCAGTTGATTAGTTTTATACTCTTTTAGTATTTTCTTCCTTCATTTAAACTGATATATTAAAGCTTATCTTGTTATCTTTAGTTTACCTTCGTGGATATTTAAACTTCACTGTGTTTTGAATGAAGCCGTAACAACAAGGGGAGATGACAAAGGCTGCCCGTGACTTGATGCAGTGTTCGATCACCATGTCTGTTGCCACACCACACGCATGCAGAGCCACCTAGAACGTTAAAAACAAAAAACAAAGAAACAAGCAAATTCTTTACAACAGTATTCTAAATACAATCCTGTTGCAGTATTTTTTTTGGTTGACTGGGTTACTTAAGCATATGAGGAAGTTTTTGCAATGAAAGCTGTTATGCCAAAGGCCTGGTCCTGAATTCCAGTTTTTCATTCCTCTCCTTCATATCTATGCTGAGGAAAATTTATGGCCTGTTCCATTAACAAGAGAACCATCACCATTGAACAAGTGTCACTCACCAAAAGCACTCAAAAGGTGCACCATACTGCATTGTAATATCAAATAAATTAAAAATGAAACTCCAGAAAAATATTAAAAAAACCCTACTGTGGTGATTAGTTGTCAAGCAAAAAGGACTTAGAAATACAAAGAGCTATTTCAAAACTGTATTTCAACTTAGCAGTAAGTGAAGTAACAGACATACCTGAAGGTGACATTTAAAGGACAACATTTATGCATAAATTTTGAGCATTTGACTGTAAGGTATTGAGTAAAAACATTAGAAAACAAACACGTGGGGCGGAGTAGCATCAAATACAACTTGCCCTCTTTTTCTTTTTTTTCTCCTTATTCTTGTCTTAGTGATTGGCTCTCAAACGAGAATGCTATTCAATTATAACAGCTACGTGTAAGCATTGATATGCGTTTGGGCAATGCACAGGGTGCATGCAAATTCTTCATGCTCTCCTACAGAAAGGCAAGTTATTGCTGTACTCAATATATTGCAAGGAAAGGCAAGCAGCTCTCTCCTATGATGCCTGTGATGCCAAATGGGCCCAGTGAAATGGAAGCGTTACCTTCTCTGCCTTCTTCCACGTACTCAGTAGCTCAAAGAGTAGGCCTGGTGCTCATTGCCCTACATTTTCACTAAACAAAGTAGATTTTTGAGGCACGTTTTTAATTTTACACAGTGGTGTGGACTTGCAAAACTGCATTGTTTGCTTTTTGTTCACTGTAAACTTAGGAAAAAGGTTTGAAACTGCAAAGCTCAGATTTCAGAGTTCAAAGTTGTTTTTCAAGGTACGGCAAGTGGAAGATAAAAACTTTGCTCTCAGGTATAGATTAAAACAAAGACTTCTTTGTTTGCAGACTCCTTTATGGAAGCTCAGCTGAGCAGACCATTAATCATCAACTGAACTATAACTGCATACAGATGGTAACAAATATTCTTGTCTCAAGCACAGTGTTAAAAAAACAATAAGAAAATAATTTCACAATGGAAGTTTTCTGCTCATATGAATTTAACAACAAAAATAGAACTAGCTTAACATCAGAAATAGATTCTTAATATCACAGCTGTCAGATTATCATGGGACATAATTACAGTTACTTCATCATCCATCCAAGCAGAAAACAAAGACCTCTGCTTTGCTTGCACATTTGGAAAAGAGACCTTAAAACAGTGGCAGATTAAACCAATAGCTTTGCTGAGTCTGTCTGAACTTTTACACCAACTGATTTCTTCTTTGGGTTTCTCCGAATCAATTTAGATAAGCAAATGATCACAAACAAAATTCAAGACAAAGCTTTCTCAGGATATCCTACATATTAAACTCACTATCTGAAATAAAATAAAAAGTGAGGGCTAATGCAGATAATGTGTTTGGTTCACAAAACATATATCTGTAGACACAGAAAAACAAAGTGGCCCCTGAAGATAGCAACAGAGCTAATGCGGTGCGAGATCATTGCCCTGTATTACTTCTCTCGTGCCACAACTCCCCAGGACAGCCTAGCGCACACAGAATGTTTCATGAAACCTCAGGTTCACTTTATTGATCTGAAAAAGAAAAGAACTCAAACACACTCAAAAATATACCACCCTCCCACCCCACCCCCCAAACCTTAAACTTTTCAACTTGTTCTCACAAATTAACTGCGATATTGTGAGTACTATAGAAGTATTAAAAATAACTAAGATCTCAAAGACTCCTCCGGATGCTGGCATGTAAATGAATATTGCATGCAAGTATTTGGAAGCTTTCACTTTTAGACTAGTAGGTACAATGTAATAGTATGTGCAATGTACAGTTTAATAGTACAACCTACCAGTATGTTTGGCACACAAACAGGTTGTTTCACAACCTTGCTTTTCATTACCCCAACAATTCAAAGGGGCAGAAATTTTATGTCGAGCAAAATGGAAATGGTCGACATGTTTTTTTTAACCTGCTTTTGAACTCCTGGCAGATAACAGATGAGAAAATAGCTAAGTAATGCAGATTTGATGTCAAGGTAACTAAAGCACATAGAGAGGATGACTTCTGCCACTTTCATTTTTCTATACCTCTTAAAATTTCAAGTGCTATAACCAGTGAATTTCTTGACATCATGTCCACCCTCACATTTACACTGTATTGTTTTACTGGAAATGGTGAAGTCATGCAGAGTGAATAACTTCACAAGCCTTGGAAGATGGGTTTAGAACTAACGAATTGCCAACCTTTGTATGTATCTATGTCTTACGGTATTATATTGCCACTTTTGTATCAGAGCAGTGTCTAATACATAATGGTATGTATTAGATATAATACATATGACATAATGATACAAAGGCAGCTAAACTTTGCATTATTTACCTTCAAACACACCACACACTAGTGCTACTGGTCAGTAAACCAGCCAGCTCTTGTCTTAAATGTGGCTGCGTAGAAAAGTCAGTCCTGAGTTAATATGCTAATCCTGAAGAGTGAATCATGGTATGATACAAACTAATTCTAAAGCTGAGATTGGTACAGGTTTCCCAAAAAGGGAAAGCTCCAGGTTCATCTGTTGAATAGACTACAGAATCAAGTCAAAGAAGCTGAATTCACAGGCCTGGAAATGAAGAAATTCCAAGTTAATTTTTTCTGACATATACTTCAGTATTTTCCTTATCACAAAACTCAAAAGAGAGAATATAACACTATTTTATTAAATAAAAACTCCAGAGAGATACTTAACTTAGTATTGACTTTAAAAATAGACCCAAAAAAAGACAGGAACTCCAATGATCACAAAATTGGGAGACCCATTTCACTGAAAAACTATTAAATTATTCATGAATTCCTGATTTTTTGAAATAGATCTCTAGTTCATCCAGTGAGATTTATATGACAATATAGCACACAAAATAAAGCTAGAAAATTGTAAATTTACACTTGGAAAGACTGGGCTAAAATAATTTATTCTCTCTTCTTCCTTGTACACTGTATTTCTTTTCCTTTATTATATAAACCAACCAGATTGTTAAACAGCACTGTTCATGTACCATAAACCTTCAGCATTAAACATCCTCAGCTACAGCCAAAACAGGCCCTTGGATGGATGATTTAAAGAACAGTCAGACTCGCACTGAAAGCTTGGGTCTTGCTGCAAAAGTTCTGATTCTATTAACAGAATATAAAACTGGAAGGCAGGAATCTTTACAGAGTTACAAAAGAGTTACATTCGTCCCATTTACTTGCAGGGTCTAACACACAGATGCTTTGAATCAGTATTCAAATCACCGACTTTGCTCCTGCAGAACTCAGATTCCTGCTTTGGTCTGCTCGTTTACAGTTAACTGGGAGTCAGAATATCACCTGTTGCCTGCAACACAAACGCTCAGCGTGAGTCCCACAAAACTGAGATTTCATTCTGCGTTTGTAAGTACAGCTCGAGTATACTTCACACACTGAATACATATGTGTATCATCAGTATAACGCTCTGTCATGACAGTTCCTTATCAGTTTTGCATTGTGTAGTCTTGAGTTGATTTCTTTATTTTAAAATGCTTTTACTGTCACCTAACTACACTTCTGATATCACTTAACTACACTCAGGCTTAATTTGAGCAACAGTAGTCTTCTGTTCCCATCTTCAAAACTTTCGCCAGAGTTTATCCCATTAATGAATTACTGATTTTAAAATAAGATAAGTAAACAAAGCATCTACCCCATTTTTTCTTCAACATGGTCAGGCAGCACTCATTTTTGTATTTGGAGCAGACACTTCTTCACTCATGTAATACAAAAGCAATGACAATTTACAACAAATAATAAATAAAAAACTAACTTCATACAGATTAATGTAACAAAGGTGCTTCTCATAGCCTCAAAAATACCTGTCTGTAAGGACATACAGAATTTTCTTCTCTCAGATACTGCAGTTGTTTTAAGAATAATCAACTAGACTCTGAAATCTTGAAGTGGAAAAATTATAATCACTTACCCCAATGTTAAAAGTCCCATGAAAATAGTCCAAATTTGCTTGAATGAACCAAATGTTGTTTAAACCTAGTTCATCACTTCTGTCTTTAGCACGGATCAGAGACAACTCCTTATTTTCTATGAGCACCACCTAGGTTTCATACGTAGAAGAAAGTAAGGCAAAATAATACTGAGAAATCAAAGTATAACATCACTAACAAGCACAAAACTTTGTAGTTTAGTTAAGAACACCTGTAAATCACTTGTGGAAGAGCATGAGATCTCCAAAATGATTAGCAGGAAGCCCAACAACAACGGAAGCCATTTAATACTTGCCAATACCAATCAGCTTGTACATATTTTGTGTTTTCCTATAACTTCTGTTTTCGCAGGAAAGCACTGCACACATTCGGGATTATGCTAAAAATTTGCATGTTTCAAATTTAAGTCCTTTGCTGAGACAACTGTGTCTTCATATTTATTCTCCCTACATGCATATCTTTTTAAGATGATTATCAGAGACTAAAAGTTCATAACATCTGTACTTTTTATTTAGAATTTACCTGACATGATGGCATCATGTGAGCAAGAACAATTCCAACATGGCCCTACGAAAACAAAAACAAACAACAAAACCTGTGTCACATTTCAGTGTTCCCTGTTGTTGACTCATTACATAATAAGCATTACCTAACCAGTGACAGAACGTTTGAAAGTAGCTACAATTTCAGCACTTTCGCTTTGCCTTGTGGCAGCAACCACCTAGAACTGCAAAGATGACAGCTGAAAGAAACTGCATGATATAAACAAAAATATACATTACCCCTCCACTGCAAAAATCCACAATCACATCTCCCGGCTTAGCAAGCTTTGTCACTGCTGCTACCAAATTATTCAATTGCTGCTGCTTCCTCAGAGCCCGGTCTCTCGACATCTTTCCTGGGGATGACAAAGACAATGCCTAAGTAGTGATGAGCAGTTCTCAACACTGATAATTTTACATGGGTAACAACAAAGCACTGCAAATGAAATTTATGGCTGCGATTAAAAACTGTCTGGAACGCTTGGGCATCCAGAATCACTTCGAGCTAAATTCACAAATATTTGTTTGAGTTTTCTCTGTACCTTTAGCATATATAAAAACTTACTTTCCAGTTGCTGCTGTTAATGTATTCTTAGGAGCAGACTCGTATAAACTATTTAATATAAAGTAATCAAATTGGTGTAAACTCTAGCCTGATTATACACTAAACCTGTGAATCATGCCCAGAAGCAGAGCTCAAACCCATTCAGAGTAAGGTTCCCAAAATAAATCCCTATTTACTATAACTATATAATATCCTTAAGCATCCTGTTTTTAAAAGTTGTACTCTTTCTCCTGTCAACTTCCCCTTTCCATAATAAGCAGCCCTATTTATTTAAATGACTGTGTGTGCAAGGAGAGGTACTTCTCAAAGTGACTACTCCTGTGTAGCAAAGTCTGGCTTTCCATCACATCTGCAACACAACCAGAAATGGAAAAACTACTAATTTATTTCAAATGTGCTTGGTAAAGTCCAACATACAGCTGCTTCAGATATAATGAATTTGTTTAGTCAGCACTTACATACTTGTAAAGATGCATTTTGTCTCAGTGGGGCTAACAGAGTGCTGACAGACCTGTTTAATATTCCTTTTGTTTGTTGAGAAAACAGAGTTTGACATATATATTGACAGTAAAAATATGCATGAGCTCATCTTTACAATAAGAAAAAATGTGCTGAAACAACTTTTTGAATGAGTTTTCATGAAGGAGGTTTAAGTGTACACCAAACAATCATCATGTTATCTGAAATATGAGCACACTTCCTACTTGGAGCACCACATTATATTTGAGTATGGGCACTCTCCAGTTTTGCATTAAATGAATTAACTTTGTCTATTAAAAATACATTTTTCCCAGTACTGAGGAGTAGTTCAGAATAAAACCCACAAATCAGTGAAGTTTCCTGGTTACTACAAAAGAGTTCAATTCCCATCATCATCATAAATTGTATTTATTACACATTTTATTGTTTAAATCTCTATCCTGAAAATATATTCCTTGGTATTATATTTTCCTCTAAATAACATTTAACAAATAATCCATCAAATTCCACAAACTCATCGCATAAAATTATCACTACATTGCTGAGGGTAGAACAAAAAAAAAAAAAAAAAAAAAAAAATCACTTTTCAAGATATTGCATTCTATACTGTCAGTGCAAAGAAAAGAAGAACCTGCACCAGAAGGCAGAGAAGGTAGGGCAGAATTCATTTTGCACAGTTATTGCTGAGACAGTCATTTAAAAAAAAAAAAACAGAGTAATGACTTTTAAAAAAAAATATTCCTAAGTGACTGCACTGCATGGTGACATAGTAAAACCTGTGCTGCTGCTTAATAGAACTTATGAGACTGAACACAACCTCCTCACTTTTTATCAACTTTTAAAGTATAAAATAGTTCATTTTATAAAAATAAAACCACTGTTACATTTCAAGCACTTTTTACACTTTGTGAAAGTTACCATTAAGAAGAATCCCAGAAAATTAAGCTTTTTAATAACAAAAGTGTATACAGGGACTGTGGGTATGAAACATTTACCACATTATGTAAAACAATAAATACATTTTAAGGAATCACCCCTTTCACATAAGTAAATCCTTGGAAAAACCTTTTATGAAAGACTATATTGGAAACCCTAATTCCTTGTGTGCCAGATATCTACGTGAGTTGCTCCACAGCTTGCCTCTAAATTTCATTGCTTCTATTTGATAAACTAACCTTCCAATGTTCTCAAAACTTACAGTTCTAACTGTAACCAACGGAAGATGCAGGCATTCCAGCATGTGCAAAATCAAGTGCTGTCACGGTGCTTGATCTAGAAATTCAGCTTGTGAGGTCAAACCTACAATTTGTTAGGTGGACGGGTACTGTGGTATCATACCTTGAAAATCCTGTACCTAAAAACCACACAAGTACATTCTGTGTGTACATGCATATGCATGCGTATGCACATACCCGCACACACAATCACAATGATTGACTGAGATTTTAAAAGTAGCTGTTGTCCTGCACATAGCTTTAATCTAACTGAGACAACCTGAGCAATAAATGAAAAGAATCAATAAAACTAATTTATATTTGTCTGCTATATCCCCCACACTGGAAACAGAACTGTGGCAAGAGGGGCCCAATTAACAAGGACTTTTATCTTGATAATACAGACTACTACTTGAGTTTGTTTTCATCAATCAACAGATCTTATTGTTTCTGTTTCAATTATTTTAGCACTACTTGATAAAATACATAAGATAGTTGTTGCTCTAAAGGAAAAAAGAAATTACCAGATGCCTTCCCCTTTTATAAGGGCAGCAAGAAACTAAGTGACACTTGAATTCTTTCATCCGACAAGCAAATGGGCAGCCAAGCTAGTCCAGACTTCCTAAAAGATACAGCTTCCTTAGCAGCCCACTAGAAGCTGCCCATGCACAATATCTGCATCTGTCTGCGATTACACAGCTGTGAGAGGTGTGGCTGCAGTTCAGCTCAGTAAATCTGAGCTTGCTTTAAACAACCTAGTTTGGACACCAACAGCAACACTACTATGACAGCTCTGCATTCCAAAAACCTGTTCAGCTCCTATGTTGCTGAAACCCAAACTATCAGCTTAAAATGAGCTCAGTTTATCTCTATAAACTGCAGGCACACTTCTAACTGTGGTATAAGCCTACTCTTGTGATACTGCTAGTCCAGAACTAGTGGAGAGCAGCAACAGATGGAGGCACAAATAGCAAGAAGGATGCTGGGACATAACTCCTCATCAGTAATGGATAAAATTTCAGGTTCAGTTAAAAACACAAAAATGAGCTTTCCAAAAGCACAATAAAAGCATAAACAGACTTTTTGTTAGACAGAATTCAGCATGGACTTGCCCTTTTAACCTCAAGACAGCCAAAGCACACAAAATCCCTTAGTTAGAAATGCACTGTCAATATAAAAGTTCAGCTCAAAATTTGCCTCAGAAGCTTATGTGGCTTCATTTACACTATAAATCCTTTTTAAAAAGCATTGGGTCTCACAAGCATTATCTTTAAAAAAAGCAAACAAAACAAAACCACACAAATTTGACCTTCACAAATTTTCTTTCTTTCTATTTGGTGAAAACAAGTAATAGAAATACTTAAAGCTCATTCACGGTATGAAGTTGCAAGCCCCCCTTGCTGGAAAGCCTTCAGAATTCAAGGCTTCTTGAGGTCAAGTAACTGCAACAATTAATTTAATTGGATTTCTTGGAAATGCTTTTTTTTTCCCTGGTAACTTTTGTATCACTCTTTTATACCCACTTTCAGCTTCAATCTTTACAATTACAAGAGGGACCCAGACAGACAACTTTGTTTCCAATTGCTGCCTCTCAGCAGGGATTAGCACAAATGTATTGAGCAATTTTCCTGCACAATACTGAAAGACAGACCACACCTGTCACGCCACAAACAGCACAAAACCCCATGCATGTAAATGCTCTTATTTCCTTAACAAACTTCTCTGTTCTTATTCTGCAATGCTAAGGTTTTCCTGAGAGGTCTGGGATTTATTAATATCAACTACAACTCCTGAAAAGCACCATCAAATTTTCATACTGTGGAAAGTTAGCAAATAGATCCCAGAGTCACTAAAAATCAAAAAGTAAAACAACAGGATTCATCAGCAACAACATATCCACTGCTTAGTACTCAATTAGTCAACCTCATGAGTATTAAATTAATAAGTGATACTTAAAAAAATATTAGCATACAGCCTTCAAAACCTCTCAGAAATTAACTCTTCATTGTCATCAACAAAGTTTCATCCTCCCTTACTGTGCAGACAGTAAGTAGCAATTATATTCCCTTGAAAGTCTGAGAAAACCAGGCTTGAATAAATAGGCATTTTGTCTGCTCTACCTCTGTATTTTGAGCTTGGTACCTAGAATTACAGAAACAGAGATCCATGACACAGCCTGCAGAGAATTTTAGTTGACACAGCTAACTTGTCCTTCATTACAGCAAAAAGGCAATAAATTCAGCTAAAACTTCTGCATCTAAAAATACTACAATTCACTTTGCATTTCTCAAGCCCTGTGATGGTAAACAATGTTAATTGTTGTCTTTAAGAATAAAAGTAGCTTGAAATTTAGACCTACAAGGCAAAACCCGGAAGAACACAACCTTTTCACACAATACACTGAGAGACCCCCATAAAATTATTTCTTCCCCTCATAAGAACCCAAATGATAGATTGCCATACAGTCCCAGAAAGATTAGCTTTCATTTTCAATTAATGCTCACAACAAAAATATTTTATTTGGCTTCACGAATCCAACATTACTGTTAATTCAGCCTTTGTCAAGCAGAGCTTTAAACTCTCTGTGGCACTTACAGGTCTTGTGTTTTCGCACAAAGAAATATAACTTTTCAGAAAGCAAAAAGCCGTTTATTTTTATATTACCTTTTGTTAGTGTTCATGTTCATATAAACCTTCAGTCCTCAAATAATACTTCCGTATTTCTCAAGTTAAACTTGAGAAGTCATTAAAGTCTCCTTAAATAAGCAAAACCTAAATATCACCTCTAAGACCTTAACCCTATTCAACTTTGAAGTCGTAACACAGTACAACTGAACACACATCCCCCAAAACATACATGTAACACACAATACATACATTCTCCTATTCCATATGGCAGAATTGCATGCTTCCATTGTTTTAGCACAAGTATCTTTTTATTAGGTTTTCCATAAGCCTCAGCTAATTCAAATGGTAATGTGAGTCTACTTTTCACAGAAATTCAGGTAGAGTATATTTATTGTTGTGTTGACTAAGAATATTTAATCTTAGTACAGCAAAAAGGCTCAGTAACTATAAAGCAAAAGTGACAGTTTTA